CTGCTGGACCGACCACCTTAGCTTTGCTGCTCTTCTTTTTTTGTTGTTTGTTTGTTCTGTCTCCCATTTTTGCCTGCTTAAGGTGATTAGCTGAAGGCTGGGCTTGTCCTCTAAGAACCTGAACAATGCAACCCTAACAGATACCGAATTGGCTGAAGACTTGAAGAAAATCAGGCTGTTTCTGACCTCATGCAAATCCAGAGCTGTTCTCCTACACCTATCCCGAAGCGCAACATGATGAAGAAATACACTACAGGTTTTGCTTACTTTTTTAAAACAGCCTTTAGATTTACTTTTAGTGTCTCAGATTAAGTATTTTCAAGTAGCAGCACGGATATTTAAACTAGCCATGAACTCTAAACTTTAACCATTTAATTTCAGCATAATAAACCACATAAGGCATTTTCTGTCATAGAAGGGGACCAATTAAACATCACCACTTTTCCCCTAAGTCAGCACTGTCCATTGATATTTGTTAAGCTTGCTGATCCAGCAATCTTTAAAGCATACAGCAAGATGAATAATAGAGATTTGTCAGTTAATAACCACTATAATTCAAGTATGTCACATAGAAGTGTTTTGTTTAGTGAACAATATGCTGTCTAATTACCCTGCTCAATCATAACAGCACATATCAAGAAATACAGAAGGCTTTATTTTTAAATTGCTTTACCAAAGTGCTGTACCACATAGGTTTCAGAAAGTTTGTCTCTAGCACTTAGTGCTCCCCATATATGACAACTGCATGGATTTTATCAATGAAACGATGAAGCAGCAGGTTTTTCTGTTAAAATCAACTCTGTGCTCTTTACTGTAGTTGGCAAGCTAGAGAAGCACTGAACTTGCCTTCTGTAATCATGTACTGCAACACGCACCACTACGGCATAGCACAGATACAGATGTTGTACAACATTAGGTCTGATTCATGGCATGTTTTGGGGGTTCTTCTATAGAAACATTCACATTTCAAACACAAGCCACTTACCCACTTTGAAGACAGTTTTTCCTGTCAAACAGGCCAACAAAAGTATTCCCTATCTGCAACAAAGTAAGTACTATAAACAGCAGCCTGTTAAAAATGATTTAAATTGCTCTAAAGAACCTCTTCATTCTTTCCTGGAGTTTGGTCTTTCAAAGTAAGTAGGACAGAGAAATTGTTCCTAACAGGAACAGACACCAAGGCATTCAAATGTAAATTACCATTTTGTATTTGAAAGACACTTAGTATTATCCTAGTGACTTTCTAAAATGTCACAATATTTGCTTCCCCAGCATTTAAGCTAAAAGGCAGATTACTTGCGACGAAAGTGTCAAACTGCTCCCTATATAATGACATCACACTTTAAAACAATAATGTCAAGGAAGAATCCTTCCCATTCCTGTTTCAGTTTCTTTAAGGGCATAAGGGGATAAAGAAAAAAAAAAAGTAAATCAGGCAAAAAGAATGATAAATAAATAAGACTTTGGAAAAGGCAAACAGGAACATGATTTGAAGTGCTGCTTTTCTGCTAGCACCACCGGACAGATTTGTCCCCAAACAGCTCAGCACGACAAAAGGGAGGAGCTGGGAGCCCTGAGTTACAAATCTGGCCTAAAGTGGTCACTAGTAACAGCAGACACAGAAAATCTGTCCACTATCTGGCCATCCCATGCCCCGTGCTAAATGCCTGACTGCAGACACGCAGTCCTGCACCAAAAGGAGCCCTCGTATTGTTGAGCAATTACGTTTTCAGCTGTGCAACAAAACCACCACAGTCCACTCTCCTTTTTGACAGTCGGAGAAATAATCCCTTCTTTCTAACGGGAATAGCCTCTCTCTCCATGTGGTTTTTCACAATATACTGCTCTTCTCAGCTATATGGTTTTAAAGGCTTATAACCTAATAGGCAGACATACATGATAATCCCAGATTACAATCGGTATGAAGGCTACTTATCTCGCAGATTTACAACACAGGCTCTATTGGTTATTTATCTGCAGGGTCTCTGGAGTAGAACTATTTAGGTACAGGATTTTTTATTCCTTCTGTCTTACTAGTGGTGAAATACAGAACACGAACATAGCTCAAAAATCACAGTAAAATGCTCATCCATCGTCTTTCAGAAGTTTTGCTTTATTTGTTTTTTTTTGATTGTGTTTGTTTGGGTTTTGTTTTGTTTTAAATAAATCACCAATAGGTAACTTCTAGGGAAAATAAACTCCTTAAACATATCATTAAATCACAAACATACCTATACGGCTATTTTAAATGGAAAATTAGGTGGAGAAAAAGGTACTTTCTAAAAAAAAAAAGTGAGCCTCTATTTACCCATGGAGGGGCCGCATAAACAAGTTTTCAAAGGTGCATGATCAAAACCCCCATAGACTGAAAGGAAAAGGCTAGTGTAGGAGAAAGAAAAGACTGTCAAGCACACAAAGTACAGTCTGTATTTACTGCTAATACTTTCTTCATACCAGTTAAGGGAAAAGACAAATCATTAGATGTTATCTTTTTTCACTGTTTTCTCCTGAATTGTGTATTTCCTACCTCTCATGGGTTGACAAAATCACTTAATATGAATTTTACACTACAAAAAGAGTCCCCTAGTCATGAAAAAAAAACCTTTTACTTGCAAAGATAAAAAAGCCTACATTATTTTACAGCAGAAGAGGGTAAAGATTTTAATCAGAAACATGGGACCACTTCCAAAGAACAGACTGACAGAGACAGCCTGCCATCTCATTAAAAAAAATCTAGTTCACTAATTAACAAAAAAAGTCAGCGCTATTATGGTCTCGGGGAAAAAAAAAAAAGAAAAAAAAGGATTAATTTTTACAAAACATTTAAGCTAAATTCCCTCCCAGCCTTCTCTAACAGAGGGCTTCGGCAGGCTACCTTGGCAGCGCCAGGCTGCGTTCCGACCTGAGCCCTTCTCCAGAGGCAGCTCAAGTGCGCTTACACTAACTCAACAAGCTAACCCAAATGAAAGTATCAAGCAACCAGGTTCAAAGGGAAAACTTGTGGTGCAAAACATCCAAATGATACAAGCGTGGAGGGTACCCAGAAGGGAACCGCACATCAGGTGGTGCTGGCAGCACTGCATGCCAGGGCCTACATGAGAAATTAAATCCTGGTGGGGCAACAGCTGCTTCAGCGAGCCCAAAACCACAATCATGACTCCTAGCAAGGAGGCCTCCTCATAATCATCGAGGCCTTCCCGATCTGCCACCAGTTCACCAGGCAAGAGCCATTGCTAGGAATGTCCTTCCACCCACCACCTCCCCGCAACCCCTCCCACGGGGGCTGCACCTTACTCTATAGGCATGTGCCGTGTCTGTTTCAGCAACGCACCAACACCATAGTAACAAACTTGTTTATCTATAAATGCCAAGACTGATGGGCTCAATCTGCCAAAAAAAAGCACCACGCTCCTGTTGTGAAAACTGACTTAAGTTAACCATTTTTGAAGGCAACTTGGACAGAGAAGAGGCAATGGATGCATCTTTTTTTACTCCTAAGCACTGAGCTACAGTAAATAATTATTGTAAGTAATGCAGTTAGCAGCAACAGGATGGAAGAGTCCTGCAAAAAGTGTATTTGTTAAAAGCCTTTGGCTACAGATCAAGTACTGAATTATTTATAAATTAATGGCTTTCTGCTGCTTTTCTTTACCTTCTTGATGCATAAGGAGATACCAGTCTAAAGAGGAAAGCACTGTATCATTACCAAAATGAAAACACTACAACGATTCTCTCGCTAAAATGAGACCAAAAAACCTAAAGCACTATTGGCATCCTGCACAGAGGCACCAGGCAACTGCAAGTCCATTATCTACTCCCATCATCAGCCAGAACAGGTATATGTTGATACCAGTGGAAAAAAAAAAAATGAACATTTGCATTAATTCCTAGCACTGTGCAGCCCTCTTCCGGGCCCAAGGTGTTCCAAAATAAGTCTGTCTGCTTAAAGGTCAACTACAAAGCTGAACCCCATAGATTTCAAGCTACCCTGTAAGGAACAGGGAAAGCCCCTACCCTTCTCTCTGCAGAATTTTGCTTCCACTAGTCACCAGGAACACAGAACAGATCATTGTTAATAACAGGTGCTACAATAATCTGTTTTTAAGTGGTGGAATGAGACACAGGCAGATCACGAGACAGGAAAGATTAAGAATAGGAGAAAATAAAAGCTGGAAGTATACAGCGAAAGGTTGAAAACATGAGAAAGAAAAGGACATTAACTTCAGATTCTTCTATCACATCCCTGTGCTGCAGCACCTGAGCGAAGCTGGAAATGTTTCCATAGGACAGAGTGCAGAGTTTAGGAGATGTTATTATTTCCAAACCTTTTTTTTAGGCTTTAGTAGAAGAAATACGATTTTGTGTTCAAAATGAAGAAAAACTGAGTGTCTTTCATTAAAAGCTCCATGCTCTTTTATGCTAACAATCAAGTAACTTTGACCTATGTCAATGCCACTTGAATTCAGACCTGGTGGCAAAACAGAGGCTGAAACGCTTCAGCTGTGCCTACCTGCCAAGTACCGAGATGTGTGCCTGGTATGGCATTTCCACTTTAAAGTAACTTGCTGAATAACATACATAGAAAACAGGGAGGTTTTATCATCTCAGACAGACACATTTCGTGTTTAGAGACATCGCTCTGGGCAGATTCGAATGTTACTGATGCAGCTTACTGGCGCTAGGACTACAAGAAGACATCATAGAATCATAGAATGGTTAGGGTTGGAAGGGACCTCAAAGATCATCTAGTTCCAACCCCCCTGCATGGGCAGGGAAACCGTCCACTACACCAGGTTGCCCAAAGCCTCATCCAACCTGGTCTTGAACATCTCCAGGGATGGGGCATCTACAACTTCTCTGGGCAACCTGTTCCAGTGCCTCATCACCCTCTGAGTAAAAAATTTCTTCCTTATATCTAATCTAAATCTCCCCTCTTTCAGTTAAAAGCCATTGCCCCTAGTCCTATCACTACATGCCCTTGTAAAAAGTCCCTCTCCAGCTTTCCTGTAGGCCCCCTTTAAGTACTGGAAGGCTGCTATAAGATCACCCCGGAGCCTTCTCTTCTCCAGGCTGAACAGCCCCAACTCTCTCAGCCTGTCTTCATGGGAAAGGTGCTCCAGCCGTCAGAGACCAACCCCAAACTGGATGAGGAAGCAGGTAAAAACACTTACGAGCTACTGAGAAGTTATTTAAAGGTGATTCCCGCTGGTCGACATCCTGCGGTCGTTCCTTGTAGCCAATGAATGTGCCATCGTTCTTTAAAAGGAAATACCGCGGCCTCCATGTTTTTATGTATTCTCCTGGAAAGAAAGGATGGGTGAAGGGAGAGCACATCAGAAAACACCCTGAAATACTGACTTGACAATAATGTTTGTGGTTTTTAATATTGAAACTATATGTCATCATGACATAGCAGCAGTTTTAAGAACATTCAGTTCATTCAGATACAAACAGTGGAAAAATACAGGCACTGAGTCAGATATTGCTAGCGATGTTAACCATAAAAACAGGACTTCATAAAAGGTAAACAGCCATGTTTTGTTCTTCCATCTACTCCGACTTCCATTCAAATTCTGCAACATCTGCCTTAAATGCATTTTAAATTTAAAAAAAATCAGAGCAGATGTCCTATGTATTATTTTTGCTATTGTCATTTTTCATACTGACAAGTGGAGAAATTTTTTTCATTTACATTTTGCAGCGCAAGTATTTTAAACAACAATGGGTAATTTACTAATTAGTCAACTGCTTTATCAAACCAACAGTCACTTTTAGAACATAAGAAGATAATTCTCTGCTTAAGTTACATAACATCACTCACTCCTCTCACAACATCTCAAGCGTGAAACACAAGATGATATATCACAATATGAAGGGGAAAACACTGCATGATGTATAGCCACCACAAAGAAGAAAAAAAACATCAATTCTGAAAGATATGTCACCTTTCTTTGTCAGAGAAAACATCCCTTGCTCACATCATGCTACTGCTCATCTAAGCAACCTACACAGGTGACAGTCGCATGACACTGTTACGGCCGTGTTCAAAATGTCCAGCAATAGAACGAAGAGAGTTGGTCAAAACCTCAGTTATTTTCTGGATTTACTCAGTTAGGCGTCAGGGAAGGAAGATAAGTTCCACCTGTGGCTCTTCTGGGTGACTTTGTCGATGTGCCTGTTTCCCCTTTGCTCATTGTCCATGTTGTCATATTCTCAGGCAGTCTCTCCAGAATCTCAAATAGGTTTACATGGCATCAAGCTGGGCCTCTAGGTCCTACAAGGTCCTGCAGTAATGTTTCTATTCGGCTGAACCACAAAAACCTCACTCAAGGTGTTACTCAAATCAGGGTACCAGCCACACTTTTCCAACTCTGCTCACCCAACAACAACTGAATTAAAAAAAAATAAAAAATAAGTGGTCACTACAAAGTACCCACAGCTGGGCAGCATCTACACCCTCCTCCCTCCTGTACAGTTTCTCATTTGTTTGTTCAGCATCAGGGAGAGGACAAGGGAGCAGACCAGGAGACAAGCTTCTCTCCCATCTGCCGCAGCAGGAGCTCGCCTGCGCGCCCCATGATGCAGCCCCTGCAGCGGCTGGTACCCAGCACTCATGGTTTCGTCTGCTGGTGAGCTCTTCAATCACCCAGAGCAGCGAGAAGAAAAGGCTTCCCAGATTTATTGGCTCTGGCAACCTTCTGCTGCTCTCTTGTTCTCCCAGGTTCCACTCACACCCTCTTTTCCTGCTGCTCGGCTCCCCTCCGCCGGTAATTTCTCTCCCAGCGATGTGCACTCTGCCCCAGGAACTCCCTTGCAGCTGCTTTGCCTCCTTCCTCTCCCCACAGACCTCCTCTCCTTCTGCGGTGCAGTTTCAACCTGTTTCAGGCACCAGCTGTGTAATTTCTTCTCCGTTCAGGCTCATACTTTTCTCTCCTGCACACAGAAGCACACACAACCCCAATGCCCACGCCACGCGGTCATGGGCGTGTGCGCTCCTACCTGCTGCTTTCACCTGTTTAGTCCTCATTAAGCTTTTAATTTTCTAATCTAAAGCAAAAGACTAAGAGGTATTGAACCAGCAGGGAGAGTCACACAAAGCTACCTTTCCAACAGCAGCCATGTCTGCAGAAAACATCCATTTGCACTGATGAAACAGGGCACAGGGCAAGAAAGATGACAGGAAAAGGAATGAGCACAAACCTTCTCAATCTTTTTTTCAGAGACAACTGTTACAGCTGTAAGTGCTACACTAACCTATAAGGGGTTTACAAAAATGTCGTCCTCACTTGAGGAATTTCAGAAGCACTCACCTATAGCTGTCACAGCTTAACATTTATAAGCAAGGCAGTAAACGTAGAAGGTTTTGTTGTCATCATCTTTTTAATTCTGACCTTAATTAAAAGCTGAAAACTTTCTGGGATCAGGAGGAGATTATGAAGCCTTTCACATTTAAATTATCAGTCCAACTCAGCCCAGATCAGTGAGATTACTCCAGTCTCATTACTATTACACCACAGATGTGACTATAGAGACAAGAAGATATACGGCACGCTCAGCCTAGCTCTTGATGAGAGGTTTGCCAGGTACGCAGGTCAGGGAGTCGGCTGCCTGGACTATCACGATTTTGGAACATACTGTTACGTACCTCACTTGCTGGTATTTTCTTCTCTTGCATAAAGCAGACCCAGGAGACCTAGGAACCATCACATACCTCTTGCCATACCTGCATTTAGGACTAAATCCAAATTGGATGGGACAAAAAATATCTGAAGAGGGGCAAGCCCGAGAGTTTCCATTTCCTTTACTCCCATAATCTATGCTACACGTCTTCCCCATGAGGATATACAGAAGAAACATTTACTTTTTGTAGATTCTGAAATTATTATCTGGTCATTTTCAGTGAAGTACATATAATTTTACACAAAATTGCACCGTACTGCCACAAGAGACTCTTCCTCTTAGATTATGTTTGGCTCTCATATTTTCTTACGGCTTTATTCCACCGATCTGTTTCTCTGTTAGAAACACATCGTCTAACAGGATTAATCACATAGTTTTTAAAACAGTGTATTCCATATGTATAGCACCTTCCTTCACACCGACTCTTTCTGTTTGAAAAATCAAGGACTTCATTACTGTCAGGCATTTTACAAGGACTATGCTACTTGAACCTCCTCTTATTCATTGTTTAGCTGGTTCTGGTTCCTGAGCCACCTTTTTAATTTACAAATAAGTAACATGATTTTAAACTTCTTTTTCCACATGTCTGGAGCTTAATGAATCCTGTAAAATGGCAAGCATACATATTATTGATTATTGCTCTTGCCAAGGACAGCATGAGGCACACTGCAGCATCTGTGGTATAAATTTTATTATATAAACACACTGAGGTTATACTTCTGCATCTTGCAGCAAAGTGGCAAGACATTGCCTGGTGTGTGACTTCCCAATCAGATCATCTGTAAGTATAATTTTACATTCAAGCCTGAGCAAACTATCGTTCCTCTACAGAAGTTCCGAAACACAGATTCACCAATGCAGTTCTCAAGAAAATGTACAAAGTGCGTATAAACAAATTCATATTTTTATGATTAGCTAAAACACTATAAACTTCTTACAACCTGTGAGGAGGACCACGTTCATCATGACAGCAAATCCAAGTATTTTGGGCAGAAAAAGAGTTTGTCAATACAGACAAAAAATAATTACGTGGAACCGCTGGGACAAAGCTGACTGAAAAACATTAACACCTTTTCCTTCCTCTGATATACCCAGTAAGCTGTCATGCCTGAAGAGTGAACTGAGCTGTTTCAATTTTTGCCCTGTGATTTTTGTTCCTGTTGCAGTTTTGTTTTTAAGAATCATAAGCAAGAAGTTACTTGAAGTCACTAATATTGGTAGTTATGTAGTCACACTAGAAGAATTGTACCGAGCACAGTAAATGCAAGCATGTGTGGCAAATTCTATCAGACAACACTAAAAAATAATAATAATAATGATCCACCATGGAAAAGTGAACAATTTACAAAGCAAAACATTTTTTCCTCTGTGATTCATTGCTTGTGTAATGCCCTGGCAGAGCCTTCTTTGTTTTCAGTAACAGAATGCTAACACTGCAGAGACAGGAAAGCAAAAGCATGGGTTATAAATCCTACATATAAAATCCTGGAACCAAATAGACTCCTCTGTAGCTTGCTAGCTTTATTATTTAAAATCCTTACGTACCATTCTGTTTACTCCAAGCAATTTCCAAATTGCAAAGATTCCCAAACTGTATATATCTGGAAATATACATGAAGATTGTTATAGACCGATTTCCCTTTATTGCCTTGTGTCTGCCCCTACACACGGCACATTAAAATACTTAACACATACTTAGAATGTAAATCCATCTCCTGCTAGAAAAGATTTTTCACAGTAACACACACTGCAAAGCACGCTTACGCCTGAATATTTCAGAAAAAGTTAAACACAAAACTCTTTTGGTTCATGAAAAGTTAATTCTACTGAGGATTTACAATAATGCAGGGTTAGGTTATTTTCCTCTCCTCCCCATAACACCATCTCACCGAATCTGGAGCTGTCTACCACTGATAGAGTGTCTAACATCAGAAACAGCTGCCACTCCCTGGGAAGCTCACGGGGTAAGTGGAGAATAATGAGCAGCAAGCACTAGCAGAACAAAAGAAAATCCATCTTTATTTACCAACTGCTGCATGCTTGTTGCTGCATCAAGCTCATTCAAAGCCAACACCACACCCTTTAATTCAGAACAGACTATATTTAAGAAGCCTCTGCTTTTTTTTGTTTTTTAATCAACTCATATATACCAATGGTTTGGAAAAAAAAAAAGTCATTAGGTTAACCAAGTCAACATCCAATGATATCCTTGATATTCACAAAAGCGCTGGACCAACTATTAACTTTCTTATGCCTCAAAATAACCAGAACAAGCCCAGAAGCACCGACTGAAAACATCATCTCGTATGAAATACACTCAAGTGGCTACCACAAAGCTATGGATAAATAATGTATTAAACTTTCTGCTCTGAGCATCAGAAGTAGCATCATTAATTACCATTAAGGTTAACACTCCAGATATTACAGCTTTTGAGCTGTGCAAGCCTTCTCTGCGTTCCCACGTGCTTCGAAGGCGTACAACATTCCTTGATTGTACAGTCCTGAACCGTCCGAGGGAAACAAGGAAGTTATGCCAATCACAGCACGCTCATGTGCCATCGGTCAAAGGCGGAATGACTCATTTCGGAGACTTCAACGGCCGTGAGAAGTGGTCTGCA